GATGACGCGAATCGGTATCAGATAACATAGGGCGTGCGGCTGGCGCGGAACTGCATTGGCGGGCACACACTTCGCGCGATAGAAGCGACGACTTGTCGTTCATCAGCAGGTGTCGATCTGCTGCGCGTCTGCTGCATCATTTTCGTGTCCGCGCTTGCTGCATCTTCGTAGGCCTTTCTCCCCATGTTTTGGCAATCATGCCAAGTTTGCTCAAACTTCACCTATGTTGTCCTGTGATGCTCCCCATACACTCCAGTCGACACACGATAGTAGCCGGAGTTGCTGAACTTCATCAGCTCGAGGGTTGCGCATGCCGACGAACTCCAAGTATCCCAGAAAACTGTACTCCATATATGCGGAAATGTCCTCTTTAAGTATGCAGTGCACACCAGGTATGCAGAAATGTGCACACCAGGTATGCAAAAGTTTCCACACCAGGTATGCAGAAATATTTTCTCCCATGTAGATTCTCCGTTCTTCCCTCGCGGTTGTGCCGTTCATCAGCAGCAACCAGTCGCACAATACTACTGCTTCACAACGGATGACGACCGGCTACATCCATTCTGCCTGCTCCCCCTACCTATTGGTAACCCTTGGTGAGTAGGTTTTCCACTTATGCTCCTTGATTCCATATCCCACTCCTGTGCCACCAGATACACTCCACACCTCAACCCCCCCCACCCATGCGCTTGTAGTCATGCACGTAACCGCGTACACAGCTACAAGCACATGAGTGTGGAGTTAAATGATGTCATGTTGTGCAGCATCGTTCGAGGTGGCCGCACAAGTGAGTACAACTCTAGAATCATTGACTTGGCGATCATCAGCAGATGGTACGCCCGTTCCGCTTCCTTGCGTTGCATCAACCTCATCAGCTCCATGTAAGTCATGTTTTACAGGATCTGCTCCATCGACTCCCAAATCCACCGCGAACCGTTTTCCTTGTCCCCCTGAAGTCCACACCGCCCTGTGGGGTGAGACTTCATCAGTGGTATCATCATGTGCCGGCTTGCGTACGATGCATGCTTTGTGTGCCATGCGGTATGTGATAGATGCATGTGCAGACTTGCCACTCGAGTGCATCCCAGGTGTGCAGAAATCCGTGCTCCCATGTGGATCAATGTGCACACCAGGTGTGCAGAAAAGGGTAACCCCTTCACGATCAACGTGATTCGATGAGCGCCATCACGGGGCTGTCCAGGAGCATGGGCGGATGTAAGTGCATGCGCATACTACACCACGAGCAATCCATCCACGTTCTTGCCAGGTCCAATCCGCACGTACTCCTCTCCATCTTTCATGGTGACCTCCGCGTCTCCATTAGCAATCGTATTGATGTGCGCTCCCTTTTCCAGCAGCTGACAATAGGAGAGCATGTTACTCTTCAAGCCAGGTACGTAGAGGACGTTAGTGTACCGAACTGTTGTCCCATCAGGTGCTGTTGCTCTGGTCGTTCCTGTCATCTTGCTGCTCAGCTCGCTCCCATTAGCAAGCTCCACATAAACAGGTTCGTCCAGCTCCCTTAACTCTTCAAACCAGCTCTTGTCCAAAGTCATGTGCTGGCTGCATCCACTATCCAGCATCCAAGATGACGCTTTAGCTGGCAGTAAGGTAGCTTGTGACGATCCCACCATTGCAATGCATGTAACAGTACGTTGTTTGTCTTCCCCGGCTGCCCCTTGCTGTTTTGATGCATTGTTGTCACGCTTGGGGCTGCAACTCCTTCGTGGGGAGGACGAATGGCTATCGCTGGTGTGCAGTTTGCCTTTCCGCGGGTATGCGGTTCCCACCCTGGTGGTGTCCACCCAGGGGGTGCCTTGGTACACTTGAAGAAGGGGTGGCCAGGCTCCTTGGAGTACCAACACACGAGAGATGAGCGACTTGCATCTCCATCCTTGCCATGCGTTTTCTCCCCAACTGACCCCTCCTTCCCGTTATTGCCCTTAGCTGTTGGAGAAGGTGAGCGGTCTCCACGTGCTTGTCCAACCATGCGAGGTGGACGCCGGTCACGGTTATCCTTTGTGATGAGGTCGTAATACCTCTGCTCCTGAATCATCATCCGCTGCAAGGTGAAGCTGTTCGTCACGTTGTGTAGCATTGCCGAGTGCCTCATCTCCTCCCATTGCGCCGGTAGTCGGGTGAGCAGATTTAAGGTGAATGTGTCCTCATCCACCATCTTCCCCGCGAGTGCTAACTTGTCCCGGATTGCCGTTGCGCGGTTCACGTACTCCTCCACCCTTTCCGCGTTCCCCATTTTCAGGTTGTCCAGCTGCTTCATGAGAGAGACCTTCGCCACCGAATCTTTGGCCTGGTAAGTGTCCATTAAGTACTCCCATGCTTCATATGCCGGGCTATAGGATTCCTGGAACATCTCCAGCTGTAGCTGAATCGTGACGCTCACGCTGTGCAGTAGGACCCAAAAAGCGAGTGCCGCACGTTGTGAGTGGTCCGCCTGTAGCATTTCGAGCCGCTCCATAGCGTCGTTAATGTCACCATCTCCCATGGTCACTGGATACTGCAGGGTCACAAAGAACTCCCACAGATTCGTGACGTGAGCAATCATACAAAACCGTAGTGCCCACTCCCGGAAGTTCGAGCCATCAAACGGAGTAGTGGTGAACGCTTTGTCCACCGTTGCTCCCACCATTTTGCGTGACAGCCGTTCCTTGTCTTCTTCCGTGTATTCACGTGGAGCGGGGTCGAAGAGAGTAGGCACGGTTGACAGTCGAGGTAGCTGAACCGTGCGCTACATGTCCCCATTCTGTCCACCAAGTTGACGTTCCATCATGTCCACTTGATCGTATCGCATGACACCGCTTGACTGCATTCCGTATCCCATCCGCCCCATGCTGTCCACAGGATGTACTCCTATCGGTGGACGTGGTGCACGCGGAGGTATGTCATAGCTGCCATGAAGGTGAGACCTAACCATGGGAGGAACTCCAATGGGATGGGAGTTAGTCGCAAGTCGTCATAGTGGGGGAGCACCAAAAGTGTAGGAGGCAAAACCCACACCTTCCACGCCCACTTGAACATTTCCGTCACCCTGCTGCCCAATCTGTCCACTTCTCATTCCACCATGCACTGCACTCCCATACTCATCATTCCTTCCCCGTGCTTCCCTTTGCATGGATGATTGAGGTGTGGGATTGGCGCTCTCCTCTCCTTGGACGGATGCATCCCTCCCTTGGGATGACTCTCCTCCTTGAGGTATGCCCATTTCCCTTTCACCATCAATTCCTGCATGAACATTTGCATGAGTTTGGTTAGTACGTGGAGTGCTTGAATGAGAGTGTTCACGGGTGGACGGATTGCTGAACTCATGAGAGAGTGTTGCCCTTGGCTCGATTGTCATTCCAAACTTGTCCCTTAACAAAGCTTGGACTGTTGGTGGTGCCCTTGCAATCATGTTTTCCAGGTGCTCATGCTGAGCCATGATGGCTTCTTCAAAAGCCGCATATCCAGGATCCACTTCGCCACCGAAGTGCGCCATGATCTTGATCAAAACCGTCCACCAAATGTGCGGTAAACGCGCAGTTGTAACCAACAGTGAACACCAGGTGTACGAAAGCGTAGACCGGGTGTGCGATACTCCGACTGTATGCAGGTACCTATCCAAACTGTATGCCAGTAAATTCCTGAACCATTTTTGGCAGCATGCCCCCTAGAGTAGCTCTAATACCATGCTAGAAAGGCATAGTGCCAGCGTAGCGGAAAAGTGTTTGTAGAAAAGAACAAGATAGAAATCTTGCATTGATCATCGAAAAGTAAAAGGATGACACAATGAGTATCAATGATTACTCAATGATGTGACACAACTGCGTATATATGCATCCAGCTACCCCTCTAGAATGACCCATTCACACCAATAATGGTGTACCAATAATTGTACCCTCTACCCTCCAATAATTCTGGCCCTACAATAATTGTGACAATTATTGTAGGAGCTGGAGGCTTATAAAGAGGACTACACTAAAACCAAACAGCACACTGGTATACAGTATTCGTTATACTGTATTCGGATTTCCAACAACTTTATCTTTTTTATAAGGGCTGCGAAACCGCGTTTCCAAGGATAACGTCAGCCTCCACTGGAATCTGCCACATGGAAAATTCCAGTGGGCCCACTATGACACCTGATTGGTTGACATCAGTGCCAACCTCGCGCAGCTTGGGTTCATGCAGTACGAGGCCAGAATCACGCACGGTGCTGTGTTGTCATTGTACTTGTGACTCCTTGACTGCCGTGTAGTCACGTCCAGGCTTCCTCACAAGGGTTTGCTCTTCCCTTCGTCAAGTGGTTCCAGTGCACGTCTTTGACAAGTGCTCGGCAGGCTGTGAGAGCGTCTCCTTCCTGTGCACGAGGTATCGACTTTAAAGTCATTTCTCCCATGGCGAGTGACATCGACCTGCCTTAGTTCCCAAGCATGGCTTCATCTCCAGATTCTAGCAGTACGGTAGATAAGCGGCAGCGGCCTGTTTCCACCAATCAGACTAGTGCTGCTGTACGCGCACGGACGTCTCCTCGCCTGAGCTTGCCTCAGCCGGATGCTCCTGATAGTGCTTCTACCAGGGATGAACCGAGCAGTAGCTCGGACCGTCCTCGCCCTACCCTTCCTCGAATGGTTGTCCCCACGTTCCCGGAGAGTAACCGCCCGCATGGACAGCCGAAGTGCAATGCCGATGCTGACCCGCCATCCCCTCGCCACCACATGGCAAAACGCCAGCGCAATGCAATCACCGCGAAGGAGAAGCTCCTCTGGTTGAAGATGCAGGACTCGCAGCCCGACCTGTCGAATCGCGCCCTGGCGAAGCTCGCGAAGGTGTAGCCATGCCAGATCCGCGACTGGAAGAAGATGAGGGAGCGGCTGGAGGTCGCTTCCAGCTACCGCCGTTGCCTCATGGGAGCTGGCCGCAAGTCCAAGTACCCTTTCATGAAACAGGCGGTCTACCGCCAGTTCCTTAAGCACCGGGGGAGGGGGCTCGCCGTTTCGGTCAGCATGCTCCAGAAGTGGAGCGCCAAGTACATGAAGCACCGGATGCCCGGGATCAACCGGCGCGCATCGTTCCGCTGGGCAACTCGTTTCCGTGCGCGCTGGCATCTGGCGAGGTGGGTGAAGACGAAGATGGGACAGAAGTTAGCAGCGGGTAAGTGTTGCGCCGTCGTGCTCTGGTTTGCCATCTGAGTTGAGAGCTAATGCATCTCGTGGCTTTGCTTGCAGATTGCAAGGCCAAGGTGGAGTCCTTCTGGGAGTTTGTGCGCCAGATGCGCTCTCTGCACGACTACCCGCTTGACCTCATCTTGAACGCGGACCAGACCCCGCTTCCTAGAGATGCCGGCGGAGCGCACGCTCGAAATGAAGGGAGCGCTGACGGTTCACGTACGGAGTGCGGGCTATGAGAAAAAGCTTGTTACTGTCATGCTGGAAGTAACTGCAAGCAGGCTCAAGCTGCCGCCGTACCTGGTGTTCAAGCGCAAGACCATCCCAAAGGGGCCCATTCCTGCCAGTAAGCGTAGCACGTTTAGGATGATGTCCGTGCTCTTGCCTATCAACAGTCGCAACCGAACCTGACCCTGACGTATCGGTATTATTTGGCAGTTGTGGTGTTCTGTGCACAAGACAAAGGGTGGATGGACGAATCACATGTGTTGGACTGGATCACCCAGGTGATGGTGCCGTTTCTGAAGCCCTTGCATGAATCAACTGGACGCCGCAAGGAGGCCTTGGTTGTGCTCGAATCCTACCGCGGCCACTTGACCAAGGCGGTCGGGCAGACCATGCGGATGTTTTGGCTGTCACGGGTTGTCATCCCAGAGGGCTGCACTCCGCTAGTGCAGCCTCTGGGTGTGTCGATCAACCGCGCATTCAAGTGCGGTGTGTGTCATCGCTACAGTGGCTGGTTCGAAGAAGAGGGAATGAACACCACCACCAAGGCCGGAAGAAGGAGCTCATGAAGAAGGCGTTCGTCACGTGTGGGATCTCCACCCCCATCGATGGCACCGAGGACCACCTCATGCTTGCCCACATGCGGGACAAGGGCGAGGTGGAAGTCCATGACGACGTCAACGACCTGGTTGACGACGAGCTCGTCGTCAACCCCTTCTACGCCGAAGTCCCCATGCCGGCCAAGGAGCTGCAGGCGGCGGCACATGAGGCTGACGCCGCTGAGGAGGACGCGGAAGCGGCGGCGGCAAAGGAGGAGGGGGGCGTGCTTGAGGAAGGCGGGGAGGCAATTGAGCCCAGCGATGATGAATGGTGGCGCCCTGGCCGCTTTGATGGGGAAAATTATGAAGAATGGCATGCAGAAGACGATTCTGCGTAGAAGGCACTTTGCAGAGGCTTTTTAGGTGAAATTGTGGATGTGAGGCGATCTTGTGGTGATGTTTCTGCAGTCTAGGTAAAATTGTTGATGACTATGTGCTGGCGCATTACTTCGATAGTACCTGTAATGTCCCCTGTATGCAATGTAAGCAAATTCGGTATTTTTGCCGCCCATAACACCCCCCCCTCCCCCCCCCCCCCCCCCCCCCCCCCCCCCAACCTCCGGGTCTTATAGAGAATCAAGCAAAAAGGGGGGTATAGTAGAAACGAGGCTGCCCATAACACCCACACCGCACAAGCTACCCGGGGGTGTACAATGATGGGGGGGTGTTTTGTCTGGGAGAATACGGTAGTAGCGTTCGTTCCTTAGTTGTTTGCTTGTGCTTGCACTACTTGCTCATTCAGAAGGCAGTTCGGCAAGAGTTTCACTACCAAAAGTTATTAACAATGGTAAAGAATAATAGGAACAACATTGCTAAGGTTGACTACATCAGAGCTAGCAAGCATGCAGGTCGACTGCCAGCGCAGCACGGTCGACCGCGTTCCAGCACGACATAGTCGATCGCGTTCCAGCAAAGACAAAGTCGCGGCCTGCCAACGCTGCAGGTCGACGGCGTGCCAACACTGCAATCAGTTGGCTGCCCAGCGCTGCACCCGCACGATAGCACTGCACCTGCTTCGCAGGTGCTCGCAGCTGATTGGTGTCCCGTGCCCTGTCACCTGCACAGCGCACACACCAGATCGTCCTCGTGCTGACAATTGCGTTTGATCAACCACGTCGACCTTGGGATACCACACCAAGGTCAGCCTCGCTACACACGCCTGGGCAACCGTCGCGTGCCTCCGCAGAAACCCATCGCCCGGGTAACATGGTCGACCAGGCAACCACCTCGTTGACCAGCTACTCCTTGTGCCCGTCGACCACGCAGGTCGACAACCACCACCGGTGGACCATCCCAAGTCGACCACAAACCTGGTCGACCGACTCCTGGTCGACCAGCAAAACTGGCAGCCGACCACACTAGGATGACTTCCCCACATCGGCGTCACCAAGTCGACGCCTCCAATGTCAATCTCACCAGGTCGACCACCCGAAATCGGCGCTATTGCAAAGTCGGCGCCTTTGCAGCGGCCCCCGTGTAGGTCGACCAACCCCGTCGACCAGCTCGCCCACTGCTGCAGGTCGGCTGCACTCCTCGCACATCTGACCACAAAGTCGGCTCTGCCCAAACAAGGACGGGGCCTCACAACGAATCCCATTGACACTCCCCTATCGCATTCACGCTTGGGCCCCCAGCCCACACGATAGCACCACACGAAAAATAGCTCGTCGGCATGCACACAACGCACAGCACGCCGGCAACGCACCAGCCATGCTAGAGCGCATGGCACCTACTGCTGCGCGACGTTGTCGCCCTCGCCCACGTTGGCCAGGCGCACTTGGCCAATTGCAACGGAGCACCGGTTGAAGGCCGGGTAGTGCAGCGCCTTCGTCAGGAAGTCGGCCGGCTGCTCGGTGGTCGGGATGTACATCAACAAAAACTTCCAGCGCTTTACCATGTGTTGCAACCAGGCATGTCACCGCTCCATGTGCTTGAGGTTGCCCATCAACCCCATGCCCTCGGCGACCGTAATGGCCGACTTGTTGTCCACCCGAAAGAGAGTCGATGTCCCGGCGTCAAGCTGCCAGAATTCTGCAAGAAGGAAGCGAAGGCGGCGTCCCTCCTTGTCGGCCTCGGTGGCCGCCACTTACTCCGACTCTGTCGATGACAGCGTCACACACTTGATGCGCTAGCTCGACCAGAAGATTGCGGCCCCTTTGTAGACGAACACGTAGCCACCCGTGCTCGTCCGGTTCTGCTTGTCGCCCGCGTCGTTGGTGTCCACATTGTTAGTGTTAGCCTTCAATCTCACACTTTGTACTTTGTATTTTCTATATCCTAGAGTAGTGTAGTTTGCACATTGTGTTTGGTTGGGTGTACACCTACATCCCAACCAAACCCAAATGTAATCTCCAAGCAATCTCCAACCCACCAATTGGAGATTACCTTGGGATTACCCCCAATCCCTAGGGATTGCCCCCGATTCCCTTCCCCATCCATTCCCTCCCCTTCTTGGATGTACTTAAAGAGCTTCAAGCTCATTACTAATTCATCGCTTCTAAGCTTAAGTTCCTTCATGGTATCAGAGCTCTACATCCGCACATGCGGATCATGATCCTCCTATGCGGATGTTCTTCCCGCAAACCTCGGCGTAGCCTTCGTCAATCTCGTCGCCGTCGATTCGCGACATTCGTGGGCGGAAATCCCCCCGCACCACTTTCCCGTCAACTTCGACGACGTCCTCAATTTCTATGGTACGCTCATCGACGTCGCTCTAACGTATCGTTCATCTTCACTCCATCCCTCAATTCCGTCGTCGCGTCACCTCTTCTCGTCGGGCCGCCGCCCGCCGCCCCGCAGCTTCTCGTTGGGCCGCCGCTTGTCGCCCCGCAACTTCTCGTCGGGCCGCCACCCGTCGCCTTGCAACTTCACCTTCGGGCTGCCACCCGTCGCTCCGCATCTGCACTCCTACCCCCATCCCCCCCCCCCCCCCCCAACATTTCCCGCAGCTGAACAGGTGCAGCAGCGCAGCCGAGCAGCAGCGTAGCCGCGAAGCCGAGCAGCCGTGTAGCCGCGAAGCCGAGCAGCAGCGTAGCCGCGAAGCTGAGGGTGGTGTGTGGGGGGGTGTGTGGGAATAGGATTAGTAGGTAGTTGACACTAAATTGGCGTCTCAGTCAAATTCTCTTTCAGAAACCCTAAACCTCCGGTTCATCAAAATCTTCTTCGGAAACCCCAAACCTCAAGTTCCTATCGGTGACTTAAGAGCAGCGCTTCGCGCGAGACGCCAAGGGATCTTCAGCATGGCCTTCACCGCGTCCACCATGGCCAACCCCATCATCCCACTCCGTCTTGGAGCCGATGGCTCCAGCTCCAACTTCAAGGCATGGAGCTAGGGGGTTGACAAGCACCTGCTGAGCCGTGACGTGCAGGGATTGGACATCAAGGATGTCCTCCTCAACCGTGGCAAGGGAAAACAACCCCTTCTCCCTCGCGAGCCGACCGAATCCACTAGTGAGACTGACACTAAGGCATATGAGGAAGCCGTTGAGAAGTACCGGAAGTGGGAGAAGGCCGATGCTGCAATTATCAGCGTCTTCATCGCCTCCACCCCACCAGAACTTGTCAACACGTTCCATAACTACCCCACCTCCAACGCCATCTGGAAGTATCTCCAGGATCGGTTCATGAACAAGACTGCAGTCGGAGTTGCCATCCTCATCCCCAGCATGTTCCAGGTCCGCCTTGAGGATTGCTCGGGAATGGCCGACTACATTGCCAAGGTTCAGACCATTCATGGCGAACTCAAGGAGCTGGGTATATCTTCCCCGAACATGCCCCTGCAGCAGCTCTTCTCGTTGGTCTCACCACAACCTATGAAATCACAAGGAAGATGCTCTTCACGCTGACTGCGGAAGACCTCACTTTTGCCAAGGTCTCCTCCGCACTCCTCTCTGCCGAGAAAGACTCCACAGCTCAGGCCAAGGCCTACGCCATCCGTGCTCCCATGCCTCAAGCCAGTGTCGCATCGGCCCTTGCCTCAGTGCCCCTTCAGCGCAACCGCTTCCCACCGTGCACCTACGTCGTCAAGTATGGCAACCGCAAGGGACAAGTGTGTGGTGGCACTAACCACCCCCCTGCTACGTGCTTCAAGAAGAAGGACGGCGAATGGTACGCCATCCACGGCACAGACAAGAGGCCACCGAACTGGATGCGAGCGCGTAAGGCCAACCTGGTTGAGGTCCAGGACCCCGCTTCGGCTAGTGCTAGTGATAGTGCTCCTGCTGATGTCCGTATCAACCTGTTGTTCCCTGGCACTGCCATGATTAATGAAGCTTCCTCCCAGTACCTCAGCTCATCACAAGCACCACAATACATAGAGTTCACACTCGACAGCGGCGCCACACACACTGTACTCAAGGAGACACTCTCCTTCAAACCCTACACAACACCAATCCCTCTCCTAGGAGCTGACTCAAGCTTCACCACTCATGCCAAGGGTTCATCCACAGTCCCGTGCCCCACCTTCCCTTCCAGCACTGTCACTGGAATGTGCGTGCCTTCACTCCGCCACAATCTCGTGGCCCAAACGGAAATTCAGAAAGCTGAGCTACGCACCATCTTCTGGGAGAACGAGAACTATGGTGATATCCTCGACCCACTCACCAACAAGGTCTTGACTCGTTTCACCCTCAACAGCAGCGGCCTTTACACGCTGCAAGTACCCATCCCACAGGTGTCAACCACCCAAATAGCGGCGACTACCTCACCATGCTCATGCCGCAGTTTCTCCAACCTGATCATACTCTACCACCATCGGCTCGGGCACCCAAACTTCCGCACACTTGCTGACATGGCCTCCAAGAAACTTCTACTTGGCCTGCCAGCCTCACTTCCTCCACCACCAGACTCCCCCGCTCCCACGTGCCTTGACTGCACCAAGAGCAAACTGCGTCAACAGCCCCACCCGGCCTCACCCTCTGTCGCAGCAGGACCACTGGACCTGGTACACCTGGACGTCTGGGGCCCTGCCCCTGTTCCCGCACGAGGTGGTTATCGCTACTTCCTTGTTATCGTCGATGACCACTCTCGCTACGTCTCTGTTCACCTCCTCCACACTAAGGCTGCGGTCCTAGAGGTCCTCATGGCGTGGGTTAAACAAGCACAGACCGCCTTTGACCGCAAAGTCAAGCGCCTCCACTCAGATGGTGGTGGTGAGTTTTGCAACGACAAGCTCAAAGCCTTCTGCTCCTCAGAAGGTATCTAGCAAAACTTCACCCTCCCTAACAGCCCGCAGCAGAACGGCATAGCTGAGAGCCGCAACCACACCCTGGTGCAGATCACTCGGTGCCTCCTCAGCCACTCCAACGCTCCACACTCTCTCTGGGGGTACGCTCTCTAC